TTTGAAGCTTTAAAACTTGATTTTTACCGAACAGTTCAGCTGTTGAAAGTTCGGTAAAAATTACCGAATTCGGTAATCATTTCTAGGTGTGCATGTATTTTAAAGACACTCTATTTGTGATTTATTCTCACAGACTACAAAATAGAGTACCTGACACAACAAAACATGTCTGGTACCTCTATATATGCATGTAGATTAACATCCAAAGTCCCTCCTTTTTACATATTCTGCACAAAACATACTTTCTGCCACACCCCATTCATAAAAATCAGCGGGAAATCCTGTTCGAGGTGGGGCTTAGATAATATTTTGTGTGCAGAATGTGTAAAAAGAAGGGACTTTGGATGTTAATCCAAATGCATATATAAAGGTACTGATTATTATTTGATCGCACTGCCCTCTATTAACAATTAACGGAACTAAGTGTATGTCTGATTTTCGATCGATGTCACCATTAATAACAGCAGTGACATCTGAAGGAAAATTCACGCAGAAGCATGGTAACGTGATTAATATTTGCAGCCTTTAAATTTATTTCTGTTTCTTTTCACTATATATATGATGGCTAGCGATTAACAGTTGAAACTTTCCAATAAACATGGAATCCTTTAATTTGCTTCTCATCATGCTTGTTTATTTGTACGGCACCGGTAGCTGAGTGGTAATCGTGACTGCCTTCTCACCCCAGTGGCAAGGCCGTTTTTACAGTGCATTAAAGGGCCCAGATGTTTTAAATCTAAATATATTTCACGAACCCTCTCTAAATGTATGATGCAATTATATATTTATACGTCTAATTCCATAGACTTATTCCCCGCGACTGTTAAACTACATTTCTTATTTTCAATGTTGTTTGACTTTAGACAATGGTCGTAAACCTCGTTTGAGATATTCTGAGTAATATCAAAACATGATTATTTATCAGTAATGTTTTATGAAAACAGTGTACTATGCAGTGTTTTACTTCTATTAGCATTTATAAGTGACTATGTCCACAACTTTTGAAAAGATAACAAAGAAAACTATTTCTACTATCTACTGGTGCACCAGGGCTGTGGAGTCACATCTAAATCGACCGACTTCGACTCCTTTGATTTCAAAATATCCGACTCTGACTCGAATAAAATAAAACAAAAATGTACTTCATCACATTTCGGTTGATTGAGTATTTAAGAAAAAATGAAAACTTTACGAAAAAATATTCCGTGTGATATGGCTAGGAAATTGATTGATTGCTGTTTTGAAGATAATTTGGATATTTTTCAAAGAGATCCTTGTCCACTGATTCAAATATTAGCTATATGGAAATAAATTTAATAAACAAATTTAATGTCAATACAGTAAATCATGCTACGTTTTTTGGGAATTCATAAGAATACATTGTCTATTTTTTGACGTAGGACTACGTCTGTGATTTCTATATGGGGGTACACTTCGTGAAAACCAAAAATGGAACATGTAAAAAAATTATGAAAGATTTTGAACGTTAATAACTCAGCTTCCCCTAAACCAATTTCAATAATTTTATCACCAATCGATCAGAAATATTCCTACGCATCTGTGTAAATTTAAAACTTTATGATTTTAAAAATGTCACTTTTGAAAAATGCACGAATGTGCAACTGTTGCTATAATCATTAAAATTATCACCGATTGCCTGCAAAAATCGATTTCCCTAACACAGATTTCAATGTTGAATTCCATCCGGTCTCACCAAATAGTGTTTATTCAATCACCACGTGATGAGTGGTGGTGTACACAACGAAAGGCTAGCCATCAAAGCTGCCCTCAACCGCTGATCGGATTCAGTTTAATCACCGTGTGTGGTGGTGGCCAGTCGTCGGCATCAGCAGCAGCAGCAGTGCTTTCGCCATGTAGCGTTGAACATTGTTCTCCAGTACACAACGAAAGGCTGCCTGCAAGCAGCGATCTGCAGCCCACATGAACAGGAAGAAGCCGTACCGCTATTGATCGGAATCTGTAGCTCTTCGTGAGTTTCTGTGGGCCATCTATGTCAAGGGCGTCATACTAGAGAGTATAAACAGAGAGAACCCCGGTCAAATTCCTATTCCTACACAAAACACGAGCTCCTGCTTCAGTTAACAAATAAGATTTATTATATAAGACCACGTAGTCCTACGTTGCCATTGCGTACAACCCCATAGGGCTGTCCCTTGTAGTTTTTAAATGTAAACAAATTCGAAGCAACCCCTGTTTGCTGACCCAAGTAACCAAAAGTTCCGCATTCAACGATTAAAATCACTTCCAAGTTACATAAAGTTCAAATAAAGTTCCAACCGAACTTTCAAGTTCCATCAAGTTCGAATAAAGTCCCAACAGAACTTTCAAGTTCCATAAAGTTCAAACAAAGTTCCGACAGAACTTGTAAGTTCAAAAAAGTTCAAATAAAGTTCCGACAGAACTTTCAAGTTCCATAATGTTCGAATAAAGTTCCGAAAGAACTTTCAAGCCACATGAAGTAATCCGCACAAGTCTTTATTAGTAACAAAATTTAATGTACGTAAATATGAAATGATCAGTGGCCCGAATAAATCATAATTCTTATATTTATGCAGTGCATCAAGATTCTATCCAAAAATAAAAATAATAAATAAAGAGTATTTTCCTGGATTCGAACCCGTGTATTCGGCATGCGATCTACGATTGGTAAGCACTGCGCCACAAGTGTGTTGGAATTTCATGCGGGCAAACGCCAATTTGAAATTCATCAAGGTGTTGTGTTTTGTATTCAAGTCAGTCAGCTGACACTGAAACTCCAACCAGTAAGCAGGACTACAGCTCACTTTAATATATCTCAGATGACTTAGCGGTTCGTGTTGGGGCTCTCACGCAGAAAAACTGGGTTTAATTCTTCATACATTTACATTAATACCTGCCTTTAGAAATTACTTTCACAAAAGCTTCTCGTTAATAAAGAAAACTAAACTAAACTAAATATAGAATTGGTTTGGTGTAGAGAGGACAAAAACCTTTTATAATTTATTTTCTAAAAGTTCCGTTCAAGTTCCGCCAGTGGCTGCTTAGAATGCTCTTCAATTATGGTACCGGAACTTTCAAGTTCTTATAACGACTTAAAAATGATGCTGCTTAGAATTCTATAGACCAACTTCAACCAAGCTACTTAAGCCACAAATAGCCTTTTATTAGAACTTTTGGTTACTTGGGGATCGTACAAATATTTGTCAGGTAAAAATTCCAAGCATAAGCATTCTAATGATTTATTTAGCGTATTCTGGAATGTTATGAAACATACGAATTCTAAAAAAATGCGATTAATGTTGTTTGATTGACTGAAAAAATAAAAATAGCGCCACAAATCTTTAAAAAGTCTTAAAAGCAGGGCTGGTAAGACGCCACTTTATTAGTGGCTAGGTCACTATGATCAAGTCATTAGCGTTAGCGTTGTTATGATATACTTCGTAGATTGGATATTAGTGACACTCACGTCTCTTCTGACATTCTCAGTTAAACTACTTGCAGGAATAATGCTGGGGAGTAAACACGCCCATCTTTACCATAACTAGGGATAGGGAAGGAAATTTTTATGTAGTACTTACTTAACGAGAGGCCACCGACTTAGCGACACCCTCATAAGTGCTACAGAGTTGGAGGGTTGGGTAGGGTATTCGGTTAGGATTCACCTCAAGTTGGCGATGCAACCAAAAGTATGTATTGTTTATTTGTTGTTCATTTAATCTCTCGATAGCCGGCTATCAAAAGAACAAATTCATTTTGTTTAGTGATCATGAATTTTAAGAGTCATGACGGAGAGCTTGGGATTAAACCCATTATTTTCTGCTCAGTAAGCAAAAACGATCCTCCAGGATCATCGAGCATCTCAGAACCATAACGCTTCGCGACAATACAGGACTACGTTTTCGCTTGATATGCAAATCGTTTCCGAGGTTAATGTTGAATATCAAATATACAAATGATGGTGGCAATTTATTGTGCTGTGGAAGAGCTTGGGGTTAAATCCATGATTTTCTGCTTCTGTCTACGATTTCGACTGGTTGACTATATATATATTAGGGTGGGTCACCGTTATTAACGTAAACTTGACCTTATAAAGCGAGAACAACCCTTTTTTGATTCCATTTAAGTCCCAAACATCTGTGCAAAATTTGGGGAAAATTGATTGTAACCTGGCTTTCCACATTGCATCTGAAATTTGTATTAAAATTAGTATGGGAAAACCTACTTTTATGCATGTTCATCCCTAGAGATCATAATTTAGCTTGAAATATGCAAGTCCGGGGAGTGCCCAGCAACTTTCCCCAGGGATATATGGTGCTAGAAAGTCTCTAAAAAAAAGTTATATCTATTTAAAATATGTATGGTAAGAATTAAATATCAAAAATCACATTTTCTGCCAACACTGCCGGTGTACCAATGGAAGTCAGATTTCAAACTGAAATAATTCTGAATTTCTTATCTTATCGATTTGGTATGTTGAGATGAACTATTCAAATACAATTTTTCAAACTCATAAGCGTAGTTAGAGAGAGGGGGGGAGAGTTTTCAATACCTCCGTCCCCTCACTCATATAATTGAAGGAAAGCTTCAAACTGAAATAACTTGGGTGTTTATCATCTTGTCGAGTTGGTATGTGCAGATATGTAATTTAAAAATATTTGCTCAATCCAATCGGCGTAGTTGGATAGGGGAAGGGTAAGCCGCGAATATTCGGCACAATTCCTACTAGACATAAGAATAGGTGAATTTTGTTACAATTGTTGAATTATCGGCTCTGTAAAGCTAACGCAATTGAGGCTTCCAAATAAATGCAATAGATATAAATAAAAAAAAAAACGTAGGGCATATGAAATAAAAATGCTTGGAGTTCACATAATGCTAGGCTCTTTTTTTTTAATTACCTAACTAACAAATTTGTCAAGAAAATTTCAGAATAAAACTTGCACTACCAAATTGAAAAAGCGTTTTACTATGATGAATATCTTTTTCATATCGGCAACCACAATACTGGCACACATTTAACCAGCATTCCAATAATCAATTATGAAGTATCGTCTTCGGCATGGCAATGCTCAAGTCAGCAACAACATACGCAGTAGCCGCCCAGATTGCCGCGCACCTGTCCAGATTTGCTGGATCCTCCACCAACATGCTATCTCCCGCAGTATGATGGAACCTAAAACGAAATTTTCAGCGTATGGAAAATTGGTTACATCGGTATACATCCATACCAGAAATATCTGTCATTTGCATTGAGTAATCCAGCACCGGGATATCCTGCTGCACTCCAATCAGTCACATCAGGCCCGGCACTTGAAGAACTAGACACTTCAGTGGCATTCAGCGGGGCCAACAATCTGAAACATGCCGTCATTAGTGCAGCCCTTTATGATGACCCTGATTTGAACTTACTTAACTATTTCCTGGAAAATACATTTTGCCTCGTCATTTCCTGCAAACCCATATCCAAGGGGATTGAACGTTCCACTATCGGACTCGAAGAAAAAATTGAATTCCTCCTCTCCTTGCGCTTTGTGATTTTCGAAGTACTGGCGGCCACCCCAAACGCCTTGCTCTTCACCGGTAAACAGAACCGCTCTGATCGTCCGCCTTGGTCTCAATCCCAAAGCCTTCAGGTAGGTCAGTGCTTTCCATGAGATCATCACTCCGCCCCCATCATCCATGGCACCGACTCCAACGTCCCAACTGTCCAAGTGACCCGAGACTACCACAACTGAACTGTTTCGATATACCAATCCTTGCAGCTCTGCGATCGTATTCCTTGACATGAACATTCCCAAATTCTCATCATGCATCTCCAAATGGATCTTGAGTTTCTCTCCTCTATGATACTTACGTAACAACATTTCAGCGTGTTCGACTGTGATGCTCGCCGTGGGAATTTTTCGAACTCCTTCCTCATATTCTTGAACTCCAGTGTGTATAGATCCAATAGAGAATTGTGTTACCGATCTAATCAAACTGGCCACTGCTCCTTTCTTAGCTGCAGCAGACGCTCCAAGTCTTCGGTACGTTCCAGTTTCACCGTAGCTTACCCACTGAGGTACAAATACGACAATCTTCCCTTCTATCAATTCATTGGGGAGTTCGTCCAACTCTGCAAACGACTGCACCACAATCACCTCAGCGCTTATTCCACCATATGGAGTTCCAACCGATGTACCCAACCCCAAAATAGGCAACTCCAAATGAATTGGCTCCACCAACTGAGCCCTTTCGTAGCCTCGAACCCAATGTGGAACGGGAACATCCTCGGTGTGGACGTTTTCTAGACCATCCTGGATCATTTCTTTGACTGCATAATCAATGGCATCCTCCAACTGTTGCGATCCAGTCATACGTGGTCCGAAAGTGTCCGTCAACTCAGCCAGACTTTGCCATGTCTGGCCAGCAAAGCGACCATTCACAATCTCGTTCATGATCTTGTGCACAATTGGTTGATAGCTGCGGATTTCGTAGAGTAGGCCTTCGGATATTTGACACGGCTGGGCATCCTTAAGCGGAACGGCAGTGATTCTACCGACCAGGCACAGAGTGAAAATTATTGATTTCAGCATCGCTAGTGAGACGGGACTGAAGGTAATTTGTGCCAGCCGAGACTTATAGTACGTTCAGTTATCGATGAGACAGACGATTTACCCTATCAATCATCTGCTTTGTTGAGAATAAGTTATCTTCGGCTATTCGGTTGTATGTCCCAGGTTATCAGTAAAACAAAATTTAATACAGTTTATCTGGGATGCAAAGTACCTGACGAGATAATTTACCTAAGATTCAATGCTAAGGGGCCTCCCGATAGTCTAGTCAGTAAATACCAAACGGAGGTTGTCACACAATATATGAATGTAAAAATGGTAAAGAAATGCTTTGAACAGATAAGAAATATTTCTATCATAGCATGACGGATGGTGACGTTCCAAACATGCACACCTGAGTAATATTTCGCTAGTCGATCGAAGAAACAATTAATGTTTTCATAATTCACTCTTATTGCTGAATACCCCTGCAAACAACTCAACAATCGAATGCACTTATTCTAGCTGTAGCTCATATATGCCACATGTGTGCTCCTCACAGTGAAAGCGCCGACTGACCGCAATAATAACCGTACACTCGTATATTGAAATGTAGATACTTGCGATGATTGCTTTTACTGTTGTACAGTCATTACAGTAAACGGTTGCGTGATTTAGTTCAGGCGGTAAAGACGCAGCTACAAAGCAAGACCATGCTGGAGGTGGCTGGGTTCGATTCCCGGTCCGGTCTAGGCATTTTTCGGGTTGGAAAATTTGGATGGGAGCGGCGCCGGTGGTGTAGTGGTAAGCGTGATTACTTCTCACCCCAGCAGGCTTGGGTTCAATCCCAGCGGCGCTGCCGGGATGTTCTGAGGCATAACATCTCTGATCACGCCTTCCTTCGGGAAGTAAAGCCGTTGGTCCCCGGTTCATGAGTTGATGGGTCGATAGGTAGGGCCAGGTGTGGGAGCTGCCTTCCTGGCGTCAGTAGCATTGGTGCTCAGCACGGAAAACAAGATCGACGGAAAACAAATCAAAGGAAAAAAAAATTTGACTGGAAGGTGTCCGACCCTTTGACTGGATGTCGTCTGGACGAATGCCGCTTGGTCGAATGCATCGTTTGGCCGAATACCGTTGTCCGAATACTTGAAAAGAAATTTCCAATTTTTCAACACTACTAGATTCCTAAATGGCAGCACTGTGGATTTTTTTTACTGTCCACAATTCTGGATTTTGACACAATAAATATAAGATTTTTTGTTAAATTGTATATTGTATAAAATTGAAGTTTTATTTTGTCGATGGATTCACTATTCATTAAAAGATAAGGTTTTAGATAAGTAATTGGTATTTTTAGCCACCCTTTGGAGTTTTGATGATCTTATTAGGTGCTGTTCATTAGCTATGTAGACAGATTTAAGGGATTCTTCCCCTCCCCCCTGCGTAGACAATTGTCCATACGTTTTTTTTTATTTGTATGGGCCATGGATAATTGCCAAACCCCGCCCCCCCCCTAAACTGTCTACGTAGTTTATGAACAGCCCATTATTACACAGTAAACGCTGCTTGTCATAACATATACTCGAAAAAAGTGAAACACACAGAAATGGTCGCCAAAAATTCATTTTAAGTCGGATGTCCTTCAAACATTCAGGGAGTAAACTACAACATGATGATTAGGTTTCTACTTCATTGCTTTATTGGGTCTCAGCTCCATAACCGAATGCCCGCACCTTGCTCTTGACACCACTCATAAGGTTTTGGGCAATGGTGGGGCCGACTTTTTTTGTTACTTTTACCAACTGTTTCTTTAAATACAGCTCTTTCTCCAACACCTTAGGTGTTTTACGAATTACTGGCCATCATGATGGCCCAATACTTCTCAATTGGGTGAAGTTCCGGTGAGTTCCGTGGGTTGACGTCTTTTGGTAGAAAAACAACATTGTAAAATCCTGCCAAAACAGCGTCTCGCTTCCGTGAGACCGCAGGAAGGGTAGGAGGCTCTTCTGGAGACACTCGTCCTGGTAGATTTGCCCGTTGATGGTACCCGTCGTGATGTACGGCTGGCTCATCTTGCTGCACCCACAGATGGCTTGCCAAACCAAGAAATTTTTGGTGAATTTGTCCACCTTCTTCTTCCTTACCTCCTCAGGAACGGCCAAACGTGATGTGGCATCGTAAAACTCAGCTTCCTGGTGCGGGTTTTGGCCACCGTTTTTTGTTTGTCGTTCCAGTTCGGTGCCTTCCGGACCATGTTGACGTGGATGCCGGCACTATCGATTGTTTTTTTTTTTTTTTTTTGGACAAACCAGATGGAAACATCCACCTTCTTCGCAGCATCGCGGATCGATAGATTCGACCGACGCTTGAACATACTCAACGGGGTCAGCTGTCTTCGGTCTGCCGCAGCCTGCCCACCACCGGGTTCGCCTGGGTCTCCTCACAGCAAAAAAATAATTTTGATATCACATCAAAGTGGATGCAGTACAATCATAGAGCTAATTGATGAATCTACGTTACGGTCGGCCAGCAGCTGGAAATGATGTGAAAATGATAATGACGTTTTGCTAGCTGTCAAATCGTATGGAATATTTTTTAGTACATCATCACTTTTGTGGTTTTGGATTTCAAACCTAGGTGTCGCATGCACTGGTGCAGTTTCGCGTAGATTCATCAATCGATGCACCTCGAAACATAGGAAAATTCACGAACCCCTCATTTTATCTGTCAAACTTTCTTACACGCTATTTTGAGTATAGAGATCTCCAAGCGCAATCTCACGAACACTAAAATCCAACATCCATATATAATAATCAAAAAGAAGAAGAACCAAACAGGTATCGCGATATAACAAATACTTAAAAAGGTAGCGCACGGTCTCACACACACTTTTGTGCATCTGGAGAACTCTATACCCAGTGACTGAGTAGATCCAACTCATTCTTGCGTTAAATTTGAGGTTGTCAAAATCTGACTAGATATGTTTTGTTTTGGTGAGAACCAGACCAATGGACCATTTACCAAATAAAAATTTCCAGAAATTCAAAATGGTGCATCAAGAAAGGTTCTTGAAAACAGCATTTACGAATTGTAACACAAGTTGGTCGGTAGCGAAGTTGGTAAGTAGACATAAAGTATTATCAGTTTTGATATCTGATATCTGAATTTTTTCAGGCTAGCGTTTTCCAAGTCAGCCAAACGAACTTTGAACTTGCATTTTGCATTTTGCATTTGCGATTGCATTTTCTTGTTGGATGACGTTGCTGCATAGACTCCCTCATTGACTGGAGAAAGCAGTTTTCTGAGGTGCGGTCTTACTTGATGGACTTAAGAATAGCCACTTACTACTACTTGTTCCAATAGCCGTACTTCAGGATGATCTATATGTAGATTATGTACAGAAGGTGATATTTTTCAGTGTACTTCCAACGGTTCCAGTGAACCTTTTATCTATTTAATTTACACAATTTTACTTTGTAAGTGATGTACTGCATAATTTTAATAAATAAATTTTGTTAACTTGTTTCAATCATAAACTTTATTCATCATACCCAGCTATAAAATGCCAATATCTGAGTCAACTTTACTCAGTTTTCGCCGCAGGCACGTTTACCCAGATTTGAGTAAATGTAGGTTTACTTATTTTTGAGTAACTTCCCTTTTGACTGAGCTGAGTGATTTTCAACTCAAAAATGAATAGCGTGTAGCGAATCAAAACAAACATAGTGTAGTACTAGAATTTCGACTAGAATGGGGTACGTTAATCGATTTGCTTGGGACCAATTGGCTAGTCAAGTAGTGAGCCAATTTAAAATCGTTAGTTTCCATCGGATGGTACAATCGTGTCAAAAATATGGTGTAGTATTTCTTGCCAAAAAGGACAAAATTATCATTAATACAGTGCATGAACTGACATTACACTGCTTTTACTGCATTTGTTTATTGTTGTGGTCATAAAAAAACATGAGATTTTCGACATTATTGAAGTGCATCCACTTGGATGTAATAATAAAAAAAATGTTTGCTGTGCTTGAATGACTTCACCACGCGAGAAATCATCAAATGATGGATTCCCAGGTGTTTCCCGATCCATCTGTGGGACGCAGTCGGATTATCCACGACGACACGATTTTTTAGCGGATCTGCTCTTGCTCCGATGCAATCTCAATAACCACTTGACAGATTACGATGAAATTCTGCCAGCGTAAATATTACACTCTTAGCTAGTTTCAGACAAAATTTAATAAATTTTTGCCCACATGCTAAAAAGTTACAAACTAATCAAAGTGTCTCACTTTTTTCGAGTACAGTTTTTAATATGCTAGGTAATCGATTGTGAGGTGGTGTTTGGACCTTTAAAAGGCTATTTCGGTGTCTTTAAGATTGAGAGGGTGTTCAAGCAATTTCAGCGTTTTGTTGTCGTTTTTGCGATTTTGGACATTTGAAAAGTCAATGCTAGTTTGACTCAATTTTCTGACGGGATAGATGATTTTTAGTTGAGACGTCACCAAATTAGCAAACTTCCAACTAAAAAGCACCCAACAAAGGAATGATTACTTTAGTTTTAATCCAGTTTTTGAGATTTTATGGTCATATTGGCTTTGCAATATTTGTATTTAAATTTGTCATTAGAGTGGTCCTATGAAAACCATCTTTCGCCAATAACTTTTTTATTTCAAATTTTTCATGAATGACGTCTTGTAGAGACTTTTTTAAGTTCTTTAAGATGCACGTTTCATATAAAAAGTTGTGGTCTATATTTCTTCTAATAAAAAAGATATACCCAATTATAGTAAGAAATATGAATAAATTCAAATTGACTTAATAAGAGTTCAAAAAATAACGTTCCTCTAATTTTTTCAAATTATTGAGAATAACAAACGTCCTTTCAAATGCCGTAAAAAAAACTTTTATTTTGTTTGCCCCAACCAGAGATATTTACAATTGAAAAGGGCATATTTGTAGTAGAAAAACGTCAATAACTCTTGATGGGCAAAATATATTGACAAACTTCAGCCTTCTAAAGATCTAAAAATTATTTCAAGACACCTTTGCTAAGAAATTTGAAATAAAAAAA